TTTATCTTAAAATAATAATGATTTTTTTTATATTTTAAAGGAAATAAAATTTTTATTTCTACTTTAATTTTATGATTATTTCTTAATTTTAATAATTTTTCTTATTATAAAAGAGTAATGATAGGGAGGATGGAAATTTAAAACTAATGACGTGATATAAATTATATAATTAAATTAGTTAATGCATATAACATCACATATCTTAAAAAAAATCAATCATTAAATAATCTAAGATCTATTTTTTAATATTTTAAATAACGTGACATAAGTTAAATTTTAGTTCCAAATTTTGGTCTTATTTATCATTATTCTTAAAAAATGTTCTTTATTTTTATTTTTTTTAAGGATAAAATATGTAATAATAAAAATTGTTTCTCAATCCTTAATTTAAAGATAAATTCAAAAATGTTTATTGTTTTAAGATAGAGAAAATACATTTTAAAAATTTTTACATGTAAAAGATTTTTTTAAAATTTTAATTTGATAAAAATAATATTATAATCTTAATTAATTAACAAATTAAGCTATCTTAATTATTTATCATTAGTTTTGATTAATTATAATTCAGTCCATTTAAGGATTTAGTTGAGTAAATTGTATTGTAAAATAGTTTGAATATAAAATTTAATTGAAAATTTTGTAAAGTTTATGGGGTTAAAGTGTAATTTTTTACAACTACATGTGCCATATAATTGGTGCCATGTAAGCATGCTATGGGATTCCGTTAAAAAAACTAACGGCTGTTTATTGGATAGATGAATTTGAAATGATTTTTAAGGTTTGTAGATGATTTTGAAAGCAACTAAACTTTCTAAACTAAAATGAAAAAAGAATAATAGTTAATAGATAAAAAATTAAATTTAGCCTCACAAAATTTGTAAATTTTTTTTGGCTGCACCTGGACAAGAGCCAACAACTATAAGTTAAATTAAAAGGTGTATCTTTTAAGTTAAGAGTTGGGTTTCAAATTTCTTTACTTTCAACGTAAATTTGTTCAAAAAAAATTGTAATTTTGGCTGGATAGAGGCATTATACCCTTTCCATAAATATCTCTAATCAATAGAAAAATAAAAATTCTGGCACCAGAGCTGGTGTTATGGGTATTCTTTATTGCGGCGGTATTAAGTAGCCAACAACTTTATATGGTAAAATTACTTCAGTTTGACTTTTATGAATTTATAATTGAGTTAGCATTTAGAGGTTTTTTCTTCTAATGTGTTACTGTACCAACAACCAATGACTGTCTTAAGTCATAATTCCCTGGGTCAAGGCCAACCCTTCACGCAGGGACGAAGCCAGGGGGGTGCAAGGGGGGCGCTCGCCCCTGCTAGACTTTTGAAAAAAATTAAATAGGTCCTATACTTTTAAAAAAATTAAATAAAGCTTTTTTGAAAAAAATAAAATGATATGTTCTAATTTTTATTCTTTTATAAATCTTATAATAAATTACTAACTAAAATAAGTTTAACAAATATTTTTATTTATTTGACATGTTTGCCATTGTAATATATGCATAATTAATGATTATTTGTATCAAATAACAAGATAAAATTGATTTAAAATCAATATTATCAATTTTTTAAAACATTTAGTTTCTTATTTATATCATATTAAGTAATATTTTGTAATAGAAATTGTTTAGATTGAAATTTAAATACACATAAATTTTGACAAAAATTTCTACATTTAAAGTATTTAAAATTTTAATTTTTGTATATTTAAATCTTTATCTTATTTATAAATTATAAGTCAAAACATTCATTTTTAACATGCACATTTTAAATAGCACTTCACCTCCCCCAAAGATTATTTTCTGGCTCCGTCCCTGCCTTTACGGCAAAGCTATACACCAAGACCACAATACTAAAGCTCAAAGTCTTCCCAGCTAAAATCAAACAAAGAAGAAAATAAATATGGCTTCGTTGTTAGAGAGTGACGGTCAATGCTAATATTAATCAAAGTCGACGGAATTCAAAATAAATAAATAAAATACATGGAGTACTCCACGTCCCCAATCCCCACCTCAAATGATCCAAAAGCACGCCAAATCACGACTTTGAAGACCCACCTTAAATGAACCCAAGGAGGGAGATATTTGATAAACATCTTACTTTCGACAAAGATAAGCTTCGGGTCATTTAATTAAGTGATTGTCTATTTGTTGTCCACACATATTAAAGTACTTTAAAGTGTCAAAGGTGATGAAAA